AGGAATAAGCACACCTCCTTCCCTTGAACTGTCAGACTATTCCTGACCCCCCAGGTCCTAGTCACAAACAGGCCATTGTAGTTGATGTAGAGGGGAGGATGTCATGATGTCGAAGACTTTAATATCGGACATGTTTTTAAGATTTCTGCATCTAATTAAGTTCCAACCTTGTTGTAATCCATTAGTGTGGTGAAAGTTTGTTTGACAAGACATTATTGGCTTCAATTTAGTGTGAAGTGAAATAAAGAAAACAGTGTTTATACAACAGCTGTGTAAAACATTTACTTTGCCTCATGCTGGAGGTCTTACTTCAGGATCTAATTATTGTGGCCCCTGTTTCTGTTGCTGGAACAATGTGTTTATCTTTTCTGTGTCACAGTGAGTCTTCAAAGTACACAAAGTATTACACATCCTTGTCTTGTCCCCAGCGTTCGGGGCGATTCTTCAGGGCAGTCTGTTCGGGCTGGCGGGGATGCTGCCTGTGTCCTACACCACTCCCATCATGAGCGGACAGGGGCTGGCCGGCGCCTTCGCTGCTTTCTCCATGATCTGCGCGCTGGCCTGTATGTCACACACACAAAGCACGTATACACCTCTTCTTACAGCTATCATAGATAGACAGGTGGTGGACAAATAACAAAACACCTTACAGCACAACAGACCTCTATATACAGTGTCTTGCAAAAGTATTCACACCCCTTGAATTTTTCCAGATTTTGTCACATTACAGCCACAAACGTAAATGTATTTTATTGGGATTTTGTGTGATAGACCAACACAAAATATCGCATAATTGTGAAGTGGAAGCATCATTTTCCTTCCACTTCACAATTATGCGATACTTTGTGTTGGTCTATCACATAATATCTGTAGGCACTGTAACTTCTTAGTGCTGATTGTAGACAAGTTGAAAGAATCAAAACTACTCTGTTCTTTCAGGAATACGACTTCTCATATTGTACAGTTTGTCATTTGAACTACTCACATTCACACATAAATATAACTCCTTATAAAATGTGTTCAGTGATGAATTTTGTTTCTCTTCTTTCTTTATTCTTTCAAACATGCAGAACAAATGACATCAACACACACACATAATTACACAAAGCCAACCACTGCTAATCCAGAATCAGTTTTGTTTTTGTAAAAAGTCAGCCAAGTGTTCAAACATTTTCTGGCTGGACTTAGACATTTTTTTAAGAATACACAAGCAGCACTCAGGATTGTTTCAGGTTTGGCTTTGAGAGTTTACTCTTAAAGACATGTCTCAGCCCATTTATGCAGCTAAGTTCTTAGGCCTTAGATCAACCAGTCACCAAGAAATACAGCTTGTTAACTTGGCTTTCATGTGACTATGAGTCATGGCAAACAACACGGGTACAAACAATACAAATAAATCCATAACACACTCTCATTAGTCATGTAGCTGATAATAAAAATACATGAAAACCTGTAAAAACACAGTCAGATATGCTAGTTTAAAGCAGTAAAACAAACAGAATTAAGAAACACCCTGACAGTGGCGAGTACTTGTCGAACCACTGACTCCATTCAGCAAAGCTTTAAATCTACCCAAAGAAACTAATGAATGCAATTTTAGCTCCTTTTGCAAAGAGTTACATGTATGAAGAGCTGTATAAAACAGGCTTGCTTACCAAATGCAGTTTTAACCTTTGGTACAGTTGGTATTAATATGTTCTGTTATCTTATGCTCTTATAAGAACTCCCAACTGTACTTTTCATACCATTACACAAATAAGCCAGTAAAAGGCCAAGAATAGCTTTATAAATAAATTATTGCTAATGGAGGAGTCTTGGAGAGCTGAAGGGGGTCCAAGGGATGTCCATAACTGCCAAGTTCTTCATGCACTAGATCACTACTGTGTTCATGTTTGTAGTCGACATGCCACAGTAAGCTCACTGCACAGGCCTCGCTACAGTAAAAATTTTGATGAATGAATCATTTAGGTTATTTATCAGGGAAAAGGACAAACATTTGTTAGTCCCAGTTTCTTAATTTTGCTGAATTTTCTTCTTTACTCAGTAGTACACTTATTTTTGATCTGGTTTTGTTGGTGTTGTTTGGAGAAAACAAGCAATTTGTTGAAGTTGATTAACTGACAATACAATTAGCAGATTAATTGATAATGAAAATAATCACTAGTTTCAGGCTAGTAAAATGTTATAGTCAACAGTTGGATCAGAAGTGAAATTGAAAAGAGTAGTACTGACCCAAAGAAACCTCACAGGATATTTACCTGAAGGTGTGGAACACAAGAATAACTGATGGGTACAGTCTTAAAACCACTATTGATTGTGTGTTTGTGTTTGGCCTGCAGCTGGATCGGCCCTGCAGGACAGTGCTTTTGGCTACTTCATCACAGCCTGTGTTGTTATTCTACTGGCTATAATGTCCTACCTCACTCTGCCCAGGATGGTAAATAAGACCGTATACACTCTAAACTAAACACTGTTTTACAGAGGCACCTTTTTTGTAGTATTTTGTTGTGATGTTTTGATTTTTTTACAGCCACTTTCAAATTCTCTTCTCATTCCCTTTTGGTTTTATTAACGTATACCTTTTAGAAAACTCTGTAAAGTTAAAGATAGGTGCTGAGTGCTTTTAGAGAAGTTATTAGTTGTATTCAGTCCAGACTCAACAGTATGAGCGGACAGTAAATATATCTGCCACTGAGAATATACAGCATCTCAGGAAGCATGCTGTCCTCTCTGTATGCTTTATTAAGTCTGTCTCTGTCAACAGGAGTTTTTCCAGTACTACATGGAGAGTAACAGATCCAGACACACTGCTGATGAGGAGAACAAGATGGACCTACTCAAAAAAGGTAAATAGGCTCAGAGAACTGCTCAGATATTCAGGTTGTACTTGTAGAAATTGGAGCTGTGGACACATGTCAGTGTTGTAGGTTGACCTCAGACAAAATGTATTGGTGGACCAGCATAATGATAGAGAGCTGTTTGTTTGTCTGGTTCTCAGAAAGTCCAGCAGAGAAGCGGCCGGTGGTGAGTCTGACGGAGGATGAAGCCAAACCCAGCGTGTCTGTGATTAACATCTTCAAACAGGTGAATGATGACTTTCTCACAGTGAAACAAATGACACAACACGATGAATGAATGCCAACACGTGTGTGGTGATCAGGTTCTGCTTTATAAATCATGACAGATTTTAATGGTAGGGTTGGTAATCCTGGAAAATCCAGCAAGAGGAAGCTCAATTTTGAAAGTAGACAACTGAAGAAGTCTCACCCTTTCATTCTGACTTCTCTCTAAAACACAATGCGCACTGCAATGTGCACTGCTTGACTACTACTTACAGACCTCAGGAAAATAACCATCATCTCCTGAACAAAACAAACCATAGTCTATATACTTAGAGTTGACTACTGTTGGTATTTTCCCCACCTGTGGGTGCACGTAAACGGAGTCTGTTCCATGCAGCAGTCTTTTCACTCTCATTCCACATGCAGGTTGCAACTTCTGGCAACAATAACAGCATTACCTATAAGGCTATATCTCTTAAAGGGACAGGCCTGGCCTGTAACAAGTCTCCGTATGCGAACGAAAGCTGCCATAGCTTGTTAGCTTTAGCTGTAAACAGAGCAGCAGCACATCTGCCTGTAACACCTTGTGGGAGATTCTCAGCTCGTGCAAGGACGGTGCGTACAAGTAGGAAATAGGTTGACAGGCAGGTAGGCCAACAGTGGTTTTGCTCGTGCCGAGTAAAATTATTGGTCAGGCTTTTTTCAGGTCTGCTGCTGATGACGGATTCTTTATGTCGTCAGTGCATTTAATGTTTTCATTGCCATTGGGATGAAAAAGTCATTTCAAGACGCGTAACAAAAAAAATGCTTCTGAAAAGAATCACCGGTGCTACCTTTAAGCTACCAAAAGTCTTTGTTTCAGTTAGAAAAACTAACAGTTACAGAAGCAAGACGTCTCTATCATTTGTTCCAGATATTAGATTAACCAGTTATAACTGTAGATGTACTGCCTGCCACGCCATCACTAGTCAGAGATAACGTTCCATTCAGATCACCTCTTGTATGCATTTTTCAGCTTCCACCTCTATGACAGATTAAACTGATTCACTAATATAATGCTTCTCTTCTGCTGTCCGTCAGATCTGGGTGATGGCTCTGTCAGTGTGCTTCATCTTCACCGTCACCATAGGAATATTCCCAGCTGTGACCGTTGAAGTCAAATCCACAGTATCAGATGGAAGCTCCTGGGGTGAGTCTGTTTCTTGTTTAAATTGAAAATGCTATGGACAAGGTTTTATTAATATGAAAGCCCAGTTTTTAAAAGTTCATTTTAATCCTTTAAGCACATATAGTATTTCCTTAAAGGACGACTTGCCTCTTGCTAAAATGTCTGTGCGCTTACAGTGTATTGTAGCTCTGAAAAGGTGCTCACATGGAACATCTACAGTGGTGTGAAAAAGTGTTTGCCCCCTTACTGATTTATCTTTTTGCATGTTTGTCACACTTTAATGTTTCAGATTATCAAACAAATTTAAATATTAGTCAAAGATAACAAGTAAACACATCATGCAGTTTTTAAATGAAGGTTTTTATTATTAAGGGAAAACAAAATCCAAAACTATATAGCTATAAGTGAAATCAGTAAGGGGGCAAACACTTTTTCACACCACTGTAGATGTTTAGATTCACACGACCCAAAGTCAGTTGCTCAGGATCTTTTGATACTTTTGGTGCTGGGACTATGGGTCACAACTGGAATCTGTAGTTCCTGCTGTAAATCCAAGATGGCCGCAGCTGCTGTACTCCACAAAGAACAAACTTTCAGCTTCGCATTTCAAGCCCACAGAGGTTTTTGATACAAGCGTAGTTTCCTTTCATGTAAAGACATCTGCAGTCTTGTTCTTGTTGTTAACAATAGCTTGCTTCTTTTCTCCCATTTCAGAAACTTATTTCATCCCTGTGTCATGTTTCCTGCTTTTCAACGTGATGGACTGGGCTGGCAGGAGTCTGACAGCCATCTGTATGTGGGTCAGTATCAATACTCTAACACAAATGAGACACTTCACCAACAGGGCTCAGTGTTTGTAACCTGCTCTGGAGGTTAGCTGTGCGTAGGTTAGCTGTGCGTAGGTTAGCTGACGTCATGAGAATAAGGGCCAGTAGTTGTGCTGTCCAACCACATCAGAAAATAAAATTGTTCACAGTGTTGCAAACAACCACACTTGGAAGGTGGAGAGAAAAGCTATCTGTCATAGAGAAACAGGGACACCAGCGTAGATTTTCAGTCTTTCCAGGGACACAATCATAATGTTGTACTTGGATGTTCCACAAATAATTAATAGTGCAGCAGATGGAAAAACAGCTTTTATCTGTCAAATGTTAGCTGTTCATAACAGCTGACACAATATCAAATAATCTCTCTTAAAACCTATAGAAAATACCAAATTAATATGCATCTAATTTCCTGAAATCCATAGGAAACTGTCAAATTTAATTAATTCACATTATGCAAACTCAGTACAGCTACTTAACGTAGTCAGACCTGCACTGGAATGTTGGCTCTTGCTCCCTGACCATGCGAGTTTGTTTATCATCATAAGACAACACTGATCAGGATCCTCACAGTTTCCCCTGATGGTTTCTTTCTCCCGCTAGCTTTCATATAAGTTTGCTAGCATCATCTGTTAAATAGATGAAATGAATAATGTTAAGAAATTAGTTTGCAATGCCATACGTTCAAAATCATATACTCAAAAATCTTACATATAAAATTGAGTTTACAGCCCTTAAATGTCTCCAGAGAAACTTTGTTGCTGGTGTCTGTGAAAAACACCCAAAACATATGTTACAGTATAGTTATGAATTGAAGTTGGGAGTTCTTGTCTGTGCCTGTGGTTGATGGACCCCTGTTTCTCTCTCTCTCTCTGTAGCCGGGTAAAGACAGTATCTGGCTTCCTGTCCTGGTGGGTCTGCGAGTCATCTTTATCCCCCTCTTCATGCTGTGTAACGTGCAGCCTCGTCACTACCTCCCTGTGCCATTTCTCCACGACGCCTGGTACATCGTCTTCATGATCTTCTTCTCCTTCTCCAACGGATACCTGGCCAGTCTCTGCATGTGCTTTGGACCCAAGTAAGAATCGCACACACAGGAAAGCGTACACTATCGGCTAGTCTTAGTCCTAGAGACCAAGACCACTCATGTCTATGAAAATGTAGAACATCATAAATTTTGCACATAAAATCTGCCTAAAGGTCTTGTGGAGTACTGCTGCATACATGGCTGTGTTAAGTCTTTTTGGGCTCCAGGGGGGAGCCTTGTCAGGTTTGGTTGCAGTTGAATGCTACAATTCTGAGAACGAAAAGAGATTGAAAAATGTTAAAAACCATAAATACCAGAGACGACGTCTCTTCATCTCTTTCAAAGAAAGTGAATAAGCGCATTTCTCAACTTGTTCCATGATTTCTTTAAGTCATGCATTATTTGTACTTTGCCACAAATATCACTGTGTTAATGGTGAACCACTCGTTCCTAATGAATGTTGAATCTCTGTACAGGAAGGTGCAGCCGCATGAGGCAGAGACAGCGGGGGCCATCATGCCCTTCTTCCTGTCGGTCGGCTTGGCGCTGGGCGCTGCATTGTCATTTGCATTCCGGGCCATGATATAACATCCCCTGCAGAACCTCCAGTAATGTAGAGTAGACCCACCCCACCATCATGACCCTCAACAGGAGAACCTTTCTAAAACTGCAGTCGCAGAGCTCCTCTACGACGTCCGACTGAGTGGAGGCAGCACAGCAGAGCAGAAGGCTAGAGATCCTCAGTCTTCTGATGTGGACAGCAAGAGATCTCATTCAGCCACCATGGCAACAGTATAAGCTGAAATATGTTACTGAACGTTTTATTTCTTTCAAACACCAACAGCACAGTGTGTGAACCTGTGTGAGGTCCTCCTGTTTCTGGGGAACATTCTCCTCTGATAAAAGAGGCTGTTCCTCTGACAGTGAGCGAAGCAAAACAAACAAAAAAATCTGTTGTGGTGAGCTTGTCATCTGGGAGACAGCAGAAATTCAGCAGGCATATTCAAAATTTTTACCCATACAAAACAGCCGGATCTTGAACTAGGCAGTGTTAATGACGACGCCCTGCGCACATAGTGACCTGGAGCTTCGCTCATACAACATTCTGTTGCCGCAGCTCAACAGAATAGTGATCAAATGGTATTGTATTGATGAAGTTAAAACCAAGTTGCATCATTATGAATTTCTTTCAGTATTTTTGAAGCACTCGTATTCTGAAAAAAATGAGGTTAGAACAGTGTGTTAGTAAAACTTGAGGCTCTTAGATACCTGCATTTGGCAAGTCACTTTGTAAAGTGTGACTCTCATCCTGACTTTTTTTAAATGACATTTGCACATGAGTGAAACATCTCTCTGGACTGTTGCAGCTTTTTAATTGATCAAACCAAATACACAAAGACAACATGGAAAAACGACGGGGTAATGACCCATCAGACATGTCGTGTGCATCATTTAAACTGCTGCTTCACTCCCACGTTTTTTCAGCGTCCACTCAGCGCATTTGACTTTGTAAATGTCCTCATAACAAATCAGTAAATTGTGTAAGAAACTGTTTGACCTGAGGACATCCTCTTGATTCATCAAATGTAATCAAGTTACATTTATTTTCAGCCCGCGTGTGAATATTTTTGCTATAAAACATGACATCTTTTGAACACAGCAAAAACTTGTGCCATTGTGAGTGAGATTAGTAGACTTTAAATCTTGAGTCTGTGCCACATCAGATATGTTGATGAAGATAAGTTTTATGCCTTAAGTAGTTTTTATTATGTTTTTAAACTCTTGTTAGTTTTGTTTTGATGAATGAGGATAAGAGGCCTTCTGCTTGTCAGTATATTTTTTTATTTGCATTTTTATGGTATTTTGAAGCATTATTCTGTTTAGTCTGTTTTAGTTGTATGTGATTATATTCATAATACCAGTTGTATACATCCTAACTGCCTGGTTGTTTTTCTGTACTTTGTATTTTGGCTGGTATGGGAGCCTGGCATGGCCAATTACAGCTTCAAACGTGTGACAAAATAAAAGAGTATTTTTAAGAGTTTGGCTCCTCCTTCTGGTCGTTTATGGTAACACAATGCCAACCATTACACACATTAGGTCAACAGTCATTTAGTTAATTCCAGTGGTAGAGAAGTCTCAACTCAAAATGATGCTTCTGCTGGAGGCTTAAATGTTTTGAAGGTTGTTTTTTCCTCGTCTCTCCTGGAATCCACTATAACAGGGGCGTAAAATGGTCCGCCAGAGTTCTGACCTTGATTAGATCTTGGTAGATTAATGGTGAAGAGAATCAGCTCTGTAAATAAAAGCATTTCACAGGGCTTCTTCAAAACAATCAGTCAAGGAGACGCGGAAATCCTTCAGCAGCAACTCGCTTTAACGGTTAAGATAGTGCAACGTTGATTGACAATATATTTACAAATGTTATAGATAACAATATAGTAAGTGGACTCTTGATCAACGACATTAGTGATCACTTACCAGTATTTTTAATTTACGATTGCCACCTTAAGGGAAAAAAAATAAAGACTACACATGTTTACACAAGGTTGATTAATGATGAAACTAAAAGGTTATTTAAAGAGGACCTTTTGAGACAGAACTGGGAATTGATTTATAGAGAAGATGATCTGGATAAAGCTTATGAGCAATTTTTAGTTACATTCAAAAAGCTGTGTGATAAAAACTGCCCAAATAAATTGATTAAAATAAAGAACAATCTGGAGGCAAAACCATGGATGACAAAAAAAAGAATTTTCTATTATAGAGAATTGGTGAAATATAGAACAAAGGAAGCTGAACTAAAATATAAGAAATATAAGAATAGATTGATTAATATATTGAGGACTTGTAAGAAACAATATTATAATCAATTATTAGATAATAATAAAAATAATATGAGAGGTATTTGGAATATATTAAATAGGGTCATCAGAAATAATCATGGTAAGGACAATTATCCTCACTATTTTTTGGATGGTGATAAGATGGTTAATAAAATGGAGGATATAGTAAATAAATTCAATGACTTCTTTGTTAATGTGGGGCCTGAATTAGCAAAGAATATTTGTGACAATGATGTGTCCTATGGCACTATTGCTAATTTTATTGAAAAAAATCAGCATTCTATGTTCCTTAAACCAATAGAAGAAAT